GTGCAGCGCCGCCAGGTGTGCAGGGCCGCCAGGTGTGCAGCGCCGCCAGGCGTGCAGCGCCGCCAGGCGTGCAGCGCCGACAGGCGTGCAGGGCCGACAGGCGTGCAGGGCCGACAGGCGTGCAGGGCCGACAGGTGTGCAGTGGCCGTCCTGGTGGTGAAGAAACGGCTAAGCGTCCAACTAGTTCATCAAACTTGCTAGAATCCATTCTAAAATATTCAAAACGTTTCTCGCTGTCCATCGTCTTCATGTTCTTCACCAGTGTACTAAATTGCCCTTCTTCATCCCTGGTCTGGTTTATGTACCACCTTCTTTTTTTTGCTTTTTGTTTTTTCCAAGAGGTAAGCGAGCTCTTCCTCCTCGTCCGTTGACGTCATGACTGAAATTGTGAGAAATGAAGGAATTTGTCAGAAGAAAATGAAAATCTGTACGCTCGAGTATGAAGTCTCAACAGTCTGTGGACAGTCCACGCGCCTCACGGAGTCGGCACAGTACTGGTACTTGGACGTACTGTGGGGGCCTTGATGTGGGGGCCTTGAGACGTGCAGGGCAGCAGGTGGAGGGAGAACGGACCAGAACGCAGGAATTGTGTCCACAAAACAATCCCGCTCATCTGCTGACAGTCCCTAAAGGCTGAAGCTCAGAGGTGACAGAACATCTGCTGCTGCTGCTCCCAGGTTGTGGGACAACTCACCCTGAGTGTCAGACAGACCTCCTCTCTTCCTGTTTTTAAACACACACTTTTAACACGTGAGCTGATGTTTTATGGCACCTGCTGTGAACCTGGTATGTGTATGTTTTTATGTTTCTTTGTGCATGTTTGTATGTTTTATTGTCTTAATCTATTTTTGTCTTATTGCACAGCACTTTGGCTGCTCCTGCAGTTTTCAAAATGTGCTATAGAAATGAAGTTGATTGATTGACTGATTGATTGATGTGGGTTCAGGAACCTTGAGGTCTCATCTCTATCAGCTCCTTCAGACCTGGGGCCTCATGGGTCAACGGTGTGTCCTCACACACACCTCGGGACGTATCAGCATGAACGCTGCGTGACCATGTTCTGATCTCCACACAACAGTTTCAGTCCACAGCATCAGATTATGAAGTACTGACACTGAAACACGACTCCCTTTGGTTTCTGAACTTCAACCATGTTTGTTCATGAGTTTGAGCATTTACGGTTTAATTCTGAACAGCAAACTGGACTAATTTAGCCTGAAACCAGGAACATCTAACACGCTTCAAAAACATGGTCAAACAGCCTCACTTCCAGATAGATAAGCCCCGCCCCCTCACCATGGTGAAACACGTTGAATCTTGGCGACCCGTTTCTTCAGATCAACTACTTAAAGAATAAACTTCTAACTAAAAAATTTAACTCTGGTCCTCTGGACATTCAAAAAACAAAGCAAAGCAAAACTAACAAAAAAAAGTAGAAACGTTTCGTCTTTCACCCAAAAGACTTCTTCAGTCTGAGGAGCTGTCTTCAGCTCAGTCTTATAAATAGCTCCAGAGGACCAGATTTAACTTTTTTAGATTTTTCTACCTGGATTATTGAGCATGCATCAGGATAAACTTCTACATCTGACCAAGCTTCCAAGTGCCATTAAGTTATAAAACACGTGCATGAAGTTGGAAACGCAGAGTCAGAAGTGCGCCGCCGACAGATCAGTCCCCTGGCTCCCTTCATTCAACAACACGTGCACACGTGTGGCAAATGTTTCGACACGACTGAGGACGTCTCCGACTCATCCCATTAGATTCCAGAGACAGTTCTTACAGAGACTCTCCCACGCTACGAATGTGCGATATGGCATAAAATTCATATCACCATATGTATTGTGAAGGGTGGCGATAACGATATATATCACGATATGTTTTGGATATAAAACTTAATAGGAATTTTTTTTAAAGCATAGGGTGTCCTTTTGCCATCATATATTTAGAATTTAAAAAATTCCACTACTAGGTCCAGAGAGTTTTTAAATAATAAACAAATCAAGTATTAGGCTTCTTTCTTGTAGTGCAAAACAGTGCAAAATATATCAAATGTAGTTTTAGCCGTATGTTTTAAACAAAAGAAAATGTTGCTAACTCTTAACAGTTTCCAGTCTTATTTAATAAATGAGCAGCAACAGAGCAGCATGTTACTCTGAAACACTTCACCCTCCAAACCTCTAGTTGGCGCCTCCTTCCACTTTAATGGAGCTGACACAAAATGAGTCTGTGGCTTTGACCAGAGGGTCTCGCAGTAAAATCACACAACACAGCGTTCTTTTACAGATCAGAGAGCAGGTTTCTCTAAAGATGACCAACGCTTACTTTAACTTTCGATGGAACAAAAACAAAAAACTTTCGACGGAACTCAGCGTTTTGCGCATGCGTCCAAATATGGCAACACTACGGCAAGCCGGGCGTAGTTAGCTTGTAGCTTCGCTACTTAGCCCTTGAAAAAAAAGACTTTAACGCCACTTACACACAGTTTTCAGCTCAAAAAAGTAACGATTAAATCTGACAACTCTGATTTTACTTCAGACACAGCGTTACTGCGGTTAGCCAGTAGAAGACAGATTTCTATCGTAGGCTAAATTTCTATCGTTTCTACCGTATACCGTTTATATCGCACATTCCTATCCCACGCAGAACATTTCTGCATCTACTTCAACATATTTCATGTTTAAATGGAGGCGTGTTGGGGTAAGACTCACGTGCGCTCAGTTCCACGTTCGTTCAGATGCACGAGGAAAGGAGCGCACAGTTTGATAAGTGTGAACGTTTCATGTTCTGTCCCTGAACCAGCGCTCGGTCTGAACACTGTTTGGTACACGAGGCCTCAGAGAAGCAGCTTCTCCAAGTCCAAGCCCGGGGTTTCCACCGACCTTCTGGGTCGGCCTCACTTTCATTCCTCCAGTCTTGAGTAATGGTGGGACACAACGGAGGTGCATTGGCTGAGCAGTCCTCCATAACGACAGCGACTCTTTGGTTTGTACAGAGGGGATGAGCAGCTCTGACGTCCAGGAGGAGTTGGAAGTAGAGCTGCTGCTCAGGTATCTGGATACCGCCCCCTGGAGGATGTTCATCTTCTGTGGTCTGGTAACACCTCGGAGGCGCTGGAGGGAATTGTTGGTGAGACAGAGGTGCAGGATAGAATGATAGAACGATGCACTGGATGGACACTCCAAAAGGAACTATGCATGGAACCATGGAGCTCTTTATGATGGAACACCATGCTGCTTAGATCATGTTCTGTCACCATGTGCAAACAACTAAGAGAGGCTGAGCTTCAAGACGTTCTCCTGAACACTAGCAGATATGTGGCTCTTCAGCGTCCTGACAGGTCCAGTCTATAGTCCTGTCTGCACACCTTCGTCCTGCACAGGCACTCACACATGGCTGATACTTGAAAAAAGAAATGCTCTTACATCAAAGTATGCGTCGTATTCTGCTACGATGTACTCCGACTTGGGTTTATTCTGACAGTAGATCACGTACATGTAGAGTCTTCTCTCCTGCAACACAAACACAAGGTTTTCAGATCACAGGGGGCGGGGCTTATCAAGTAAATATTTTACTTACGTGTTTGATGAAGAGCTCAGGAAGCAGTTCATGGTTGTCCAGGCACTTCTCCATCTCAACTACAAAGAAGCTGAGACACAGAGGAGGATCATCATGGGTCAGCAGTGAGCACACACCAACCTTTGTACGCCCTCGTACACGCAGGAACATTTTCTTTGTTTACAGAAACAAAAAACACTTGGACTCTACAAATGATTCAATCCACAGAGGAGAAACAGAAAATGACCAGAACTGCTGCAGTACCGATGCCAGGCCAGTGAGCGGCACTGCAACGCTGCCATGAAATCACTCAGAAACAGGAAACAAGGAGTGCAGCGCACATGAACTGAAAACAGAAGGAGTAGAAGAATAATCTAAAAGTGCAGGACAGCTGAGCGGGAGTCGTGTCCAAACACGTGGACATAAGAGACACTGTTCAGGCCCAGTGTCCAGTGAGGGACAGGTGGGGCCAAGTGTCTTCATCATGATGTTCAACGCAGGAGAAGTCCTTTATACACGAGTGAACTTCTTTCCACACATTATTTAAATGTAGATTTAAAACATTTATTGTCTTTTTCCTGCAGCCTTAGTTGTTTGTTTCAAGAACTGTAACATTAACGAGTTATTTCAGTAAAGTTAAACCTTTCTGGCTTTAATTATTTGTCTCTTTGCTCTGCTTCATTTAAAGCTGGTACTGTTCAGTCCTGGTCTTAGAGGACGACCGTCCTCCATGTTTTATCGGTTTCTCTGCTCCAACACACCTGGACAAATGACTGGAACACCCAGTCATGTTCTGCAGCATCCTGGTGCCCACCCATTAATGCAAGTCAGGCGTGTTGGAGCAGAGAAACATCTAAAACATGCATGATAGAGGCCCTTGAGGACCAGGACTGGAACCCCCTGGTTTAAAGTACCAACGCAGCGTTGGGTCGTAGGTCAGGTTTGAGGTGGGCTATGGGTTTGCTGACAGGATAAATGGGTTTCAGTTTAGGGGCTTGTAAAGGCAGTTCTCATGTGGCCCCTGATAATACAAAGCTTACAGATGTCCCTGTGTGGGCGGGGCCCAAGTCTTTTACAGACGTTTCTGTGTGGGCGGGGCCTGAGTTTTCTGAGGCCTCCATACTCACTCTCGGTGCCAGTCGAAGATCTGATGGATGTTCCCAAAGACCATTTTATCTTTTCCTTTCATGTCGTCAGGAATTCCCTTCTCCTCCATGCGCTTCATGAAGCCCTGTAAAAACACAAACCTGTTTGACATCCAGTTCAACCCCCCCCCCCAGGCTGATCCGTGCTGGATTCGAAAGCCTCACCTCCACCACAATGCCCAGGTCTCTAACGTAGTCCTTCTCTGTTTGGATGAGCTCATTCAGAACAAACCTGAGCAGATAAAAGCCTCTTTAACAGACTGGCAGTTCCACCACTGCAGGTCAGAGACGTGAAGGACAGCAGGAACTCACATTCGGCCTCTCATTGCTTTGGCTCTCTGCTCCTGTTCAGGGTTCCTCTGCTGGACTGGGGAACTTTGTTCTAGGACCTGGGAGGCTCCTGGTTCTGTCGTCTGGAGAAAAGACAGAAAATTACTGCTACACGTTCATTTAAGATGGCTTCACAGTGTCAAGCTGCATGAGTTGAAGCCAACTTGGTCAAACCTCAGATGTAAATGATGGAATGTGCAAAAACCTCAGTGTCTACCAGAAACTCTGTCGCTCCGAGTTAGTGAAACTGCCTGTTGGGTGAAAGGTGAAGCCTCTTCTGGAAACGGGACAAGTCATCCTGTTGTCTTGAACTTAAACACTTATGGATAGAGGATATGCAAACTGGCACATTCCTAAATATTATCTGTCTTTTTATTCATTAGTGGTGCAATGCTACGCATAACTCCATGTCCCCAACCTGGTGCAGCCGACCTCAGCGCATCATGAACTAAAGACCAAGTATCACCTTGATGGACAAGGCCCACACCAGATGTTGGGGAGCTGGACAATCTAATGAGTAATGAGCCATTCATGGGTCAAGGCAGAGACAGTACATCTGTAGTAATGCTACCATACGAGCAAGGATGTGAGAACTCTGAAAACGTCAACACTCAACGTCCAGAGTGGCTACAGAACAACATGACACCTGATGTACCGCCACAGAGACTGATGAGGGGAACCATCTGAGGATTCGGTAGGCGGGCTGCTCGGTTGTGTTGACAGTGCGGAGTGCTGTCACTGTAAGCTAAATGCTTACAGTAAACGAGTGAGACACGAGATGCTGGGCAGACATTGCAGCATTCTCTGTGGTGTTCGCTGCAACAACTACCTGTAGTCATGGGGTGAAGCTGGCTCATAACCTGAATTTTAGCTCTCAGCTCAAAGCAAGTCGAGGTGCTTCAGGCATCTGGTAAGGATGCTTCCTGGGCGCCTCCCTAAAGAAGTGCTTCAGGCATGTCCAACTGGGAGGAGACCCCGGGGAAGACCCAGGACACATTGCAGAGACTACGTCTCTTGGTTGGTCTGGGAACGCTGCTGTGTTCGTTCGTTCTCATCTGCTCACACAGACTCATGTTCGTGCTGCTGTTCGACCTTTAACTTTTGACTATGAATGCCTTGGAGTCCTCCCAGAAGAGTTGGAAGAGATGTCTGGACCTCCCTGCTCAAGATGCTGCCCCCGAGACCCAACTTCAAAACAAGAGGAAGATGATGGATGGATGGAATTCAGCAGAAAATCGGTCAAGAGACGACTCGTATCACAACCAACTCTTTAGTCGGGACACTTGTAAGTCAAGGGGTACTTCAAAGTCCCCTCTTTGCGATGGGGGACAAGAAGCCAGACAGACAAACTGCAATGTTAAACATGTTAGTATTGGGGGGGGGGGGGGTATGGTTTAGTTCTGTATAAATGGTCAAACATGAAGATGGATCCCTGTGATGGAAGTGAAGAGGAGCGTCAGCCTCTTTATGAAGACACCCTGCACAGCACCGACTCACCATCTTGGTCTGAACCAGTTTCTCTATGGCACTAACGAGCTCTGCAGCGCTGGCCACCTCAGAGGACGACTGCAGAGATGCTAGCAAGGACGAAGACTTGGAGAGGAAGAAGAGGGAAGAATGAACGGAACGACAGGTTGGAGGTACAAAAGAGTGAATGTTACAACAAAGAGCTGACAGGAAGCAGAACTTCAGTTACGTTAAAAATAAGACCGAGTTGTCCATGCACTTACAGGACCTGAACAGCAGCAAATTAGAAGAAGACCAGTGGAAATGACAACAATCTGAAACATCTCCATGGTTACCTTGTCTTCTGCAGCTGGAGGATCCTTGATGATCTCCATGCGGGGTGGAAGAGGAAGGTGGGGCTCATCCTCTGGCTCCTCCTCTCCGCCACTCTGCATCCCAGAGGACATCTTGAGAGTGTTCTTGTCCTGATGGAGAACAAGAGGACAGAGAACAGTGAGACATGGGTTCACATGAAGGACTCAACCCATCAGCCTAAAACTCCTTCGACGTTTACTTCCTGTACGGAGTGACATGACTGTGACTCCGATGACCAATCAGAAGGCTAGAATCAGAACAACCAGGAGCTAAAGGAACATGGTGACCAGGTGCTGGATGTTTTTTCAGGTTCACCCTGGGTTGAAGAAACTGCAGAAAGTCCTCGTTTATTTTGTTGAGTAGAAAAAGGTTGTTTGGTTTGTCGGTTGTACTGTAGGTAGGAGCACTGCCACCAGGTTCTGCACCAGGCCCAGCACCAGGCCCAGCACCAGGCCCAGCACCAGGCCCAGCACCAGGTCCAGCACCAGGTCCAGCACCAGGCCCAGCACCAGGCCCAGCACCAGGTCCAGCACCAGGTCCTGCATCAGGTCCAGCACCAGGTCCAGCACCAGGTCTTTCTAAACACCTCTGGGTTTCCTGCTTGATGTTTAGCAGTTCGTCTGCTCAGTATCAGTGGATGAAATGTGCGTTCTGATTAATATTTCATATTTCCCCCCAAAAGAAAATGGTGGTTTAATGTCACGGACCGGGCGGCGTGAGCCTGGCTCAGCCACATGGAACAGAACGGACCAAAACGTTTAGGCTGAAAAGAAAACCTCCAGACGAAATTCTGAAAGTGCCTTCAACTTGGCGTTTTTAGCTAAGGCGGCCATCTTGAACCTTAAAGACTTGGATGTGGGTTGGGGATGACCAGTTTTTAGCTCTGCATCTCTAGAAATGTGGAGTTATAAACATGTTTGTGTTTGATAGATTAGCTGCGGCGGCCATTTTGAATTGGGTAGAAGTACCCGTTAGGTGGGGAGTTCTGGAGGGGATCGTCTCTGTTGGTCACAGTCATCTGTGGCAGGAAGTGGAACCTGTTCTGTTAACTTTTGGCTTCTATTTGGGGATGTTTGTGTTGTTTACACAACAACAACAACAACAACAACAACAACAACAACAACAACAACAACAACAACAACAACATTCTCTGTCTGGATCAGAACAAGGTGCTGAACTCAAGTTATTGAATTTACCTCACTGATGATGTCACCAGACTGACCAAGCTCGTTGCTGTTCCTGACATCATCCCGTCCTGAGCCGGGTCCTGGAAATAAACAAAATAAACAACAACAAACAGCAATGAGACATCTGGTTTTCTACTAGGACCAAAGGTCTGGTTCTGGTTCTAACGTCCAGCCACTCACTCGTCTTCTTGGGTTTGCTGGTGTCCAGTTTCTTGATGGAGTTGCTCTGGCCGAGGCGGCGAACTGGACTGGTCAGCCATTTTCTCAGAGTGTTGCCAGAACGTTTGGGTCCAGGAGAGTTGGACTGCAGCGAGCTGAGCGACGGCTGCGGCTGCAGGTTCACCACAGACTCCGTCTTCGCCTCAGAGCTGCTCACATGAAAGTTTTCTGAAAACAACAACAACGTCGTCACGTTAAAAGGAGCAGCTCGACAACCGTATACACCGAGAACATCTCAAACTCTTCCTGATGGACTGTCGGATCTTTAAATCAAAAGTCCTGGCAGGTTTTCACTCCGAGTCAGACCTCCATCATTCTTCAACCCCTCCCAAACCCCCATAAACCGCTCACATCACAACAACGAGAGCCTGCAGCGGCCAAAATACTTTTGAGTATTGTGAAGTGTGAAAAACTCTTGTTGTTGAGAGAAGTCCAGTTTCCTTTGATCACGTCCACATGTGGTCCACATGTGTTCCACATGCTTCCAGGGCTTAATCTGAGATGGATCCTGCCGGAACAGGATCCGGGAACGCTCTTATTTTGACAGGGTGCATTCTGGTAACTGTTTGCTCAGATCTGGTATCTCTCAGGCTTACCAATAATAAGGTTATGAACAATAAAACCTATATTGTATATGTAATATGAAAATAATTAGATAAACACTCATTTTAAACTTAACGAGATTAACATCAGAGCTGCTCCTTCAAGTAACCATGTCTGCTTCTAACCTTAAAAAAGCTCTGACCCTAAAAGCTCAGTCATGGGCAATTTAATTAAAAACACAACAATATAATTAAACAGCACAACTATGAGTAATCAGTTTTACAGTTTAAGTGGGTCAGTAATAACATTTTGATTATTTATTAAAAATATGACCGAAACATTTGATGGGTAATCTCATTACATACATCACAGATCAAAACAATGGCAAGATTATTGAGCATGGACTTTGTTGGCACCAATTAGTCAAAATAACAGCGAACAAAATGTCGAAGACTCGGTCCAATTTACTTTTATTTAATAAAAAGTCTTCTCTACTGAGACACGGAGCAAGAAGCAGAGCAGGGAGGAGGATGAGGAGGATGAGGAGGATGAGGAGGATGAGGAGGCGCACCTGGCCGCGGTGTGGGGTATATTAAAACAACTAGTAAGATAAATTAAATTCAGTTTAGTTCATTTCTAAAGCTCCAAGTCACAACAGAAGTCCTCTCAGGGACTGATCAGAAACATTCATGTATAAAATAATAATGGAACATTATTTATCTGAGGAGCAGCTTTGAGTTTAACTCCATCACTGAACTCTCATCTTGAACAAGCATGAAGGCGACAGTGGAAAGAAAAACTCCCTCATGAGGAAGAAACCTTTAGCAGAACCAGGATCAGGACAAGAGGACCATCTGCTTCGACCGGCTGGGTTTGGCAGGAATAGATACACAATGGCAGGTCAAGAATCACATGTTAACATAGAAATAGTATCAAATGAAAACTATTCAATTTTAACAATTCATCCATCCATCCATTTTCTTCCGCTTATCCGGGGTCGGGTCGTGGGGGTAGCAGCCTAAGTAGGGAGGCCCAGACTTCCCTCTCCCCAGCCACTTGGTCCAGCTCTTCCGGGGGAATCCCGAGGCGTTCCCAGGCCAGCCGAGAAACATAGTCCCTCCAGCGTGTCCTGGGTCTTCCTCTGGGTCTCCTCCCGGTGGGACGTGTCCAGAACACCTCACCAGGGAGGCGTCCAGGAGGCATCCTAAACAGATGCCCGAGCCACCTCAACTGGCTCCTCTCGACGTGGAGAAGCAGCGGCTCTACTCTGAGTCCCTCCCGGATGACCGAGCTTCTCACCCTGTCTCTAAGGGAGAGTCCAGACACCCTGCAGAGAAAACTCATTTCAGCCGCTTGTATCCGGATCTCATTCTTTCGGTCACAACCCAAAGCTCGTGACCATAGATGAGGGTGGGAACGTAGATCGACCGGTAAATTGAGAGCTTCACCTTTTGACTCAGCTCTCTCTTCACCACGACAGACCTGTACAGCGCCCGCTTCACTGCAGACGCTGCGCCTATCCGCCTATCGATCTCACGCTCCATTTTTCCCTCATTCGTGAACAAGACCCCAAGATACTTGAACTCCTCCACTTGGGGCAGGACCTCCTCCCTGACCCAGAGAGGGCACTCTACCTTTTTCTGGCTCAAGACCATGGCCTCGGATTTGGAGGAACTGATCTTCATCCCGGCCGCATCGCATTCGGCTGCGAACCGCTCCAGCGAAAGCTGTAGATCACGATCTGATGAAGCCAATAAGACCACATCATCTGCAAAAAGCAGAGACGCAATCCTAAGGCCACCAAAACGGATCCCCCCAACACCTCGGCTGCACCTAGAAATTCTGTCCATAAAAGTTATGAACAGAATCGGTGACAAAGGACAACCTTGGCGGAGTCCAACTCTCACTGGGAATGAGCCAGACTTACTGCCAGCAATGCAGACCAGGCTCTGACACTGGTCGTACAGGGAACCAACAGCCCGTATCAAAGGGCCTGGTACCCCATACTCCTGGAGTACCCCCCACAGGGTCCCCCGAGGGACATGGTCGAACGCCTTCTCCAAGTCCACAAAACACATGTAAACCGGTTGGGCAAACTCTCACGCACCCTCCAGGACCCTGCTGAGAGTGTAGAGCTGGTCCAGTGTTCCAGACAGACAGAGGACACAGAGGACAGTGCGATGGATGATGATTCACTGTGGAGACATCTGAAGAGGGAAAAGCCAAAAGAAGAAGAGGAAGACTTCTGTTTGTGCATCAACTTCTGGTTTGATAAACGGGCAAAAAAAAAAAAAATCTTTGGATTGTTCTAAACTAATCTAAAACATTAAAGTTCCTCGTAGAGCCAGTGACAAAAACAAACTGTCCATTGGTGGGTGGAGGTCCTGTGGTGGATGGTCATCTACTGGTAACCACTACAAAGTAAAGTCATGGAACATTTTATTGAACAAAACATTGCTCAGGTAGCTACACGAGAGGACCACAGGTGGATTATGACCCTTCTGGCTCTCCGTACTTCCTCCACCTTTCAGACTGCCAACTCTGATTCTTGGAGTGTTTTGGTTCATTCTGTGAAAGGAATCCTGTCGATTTATTGAAAGTTTTTGTTTTCAGGATAAATTCGAGCTTATTTGTGGACACGGTGATCAGTGATGAGCTCAGACCCCAGCTGAAGGTTGGAAACATGACATCGTCATCAACAAATCTGAAGGTTTCCAGACAAACATCTAGCTCAGCTCTCTGAGGCTTCCTGCGGTCCTCCAATGGTGTTCCAGCTGAGCCGACATCCTCAGACTCCCACCAGATGTTGCTGATGACGCTCAGCTGGTGGAGTCATCAGGTCTGGTGAGCAACATCTGACCCGAGCAGCATTTCAGCAGCTGCTGATGCAAGGGGCTTCAGTCAGAGGAGATAACAGGTCAGAGTCCAGCTTCTGTCTGGTCTGACTCCTCAGAGGTTCAGCTTTGGTCACGACTCAAAACGTTCAGCTCATTCACTCGTTTGTTACAAGTTTGATTGAGAACTATTTTACACTGAGCATTAAAATCCTTCAGTCATCTTCGAAACCTTCAGCAAACTTTGTCCTCGTCTTATTTTAGCTACTTTTTAACTGCTATGTGATTCGTTTGGAGACTTTTAGCTTCCTTCTTCATTCTTTTGGCCTTTAGCTACTGTTCCACGTCCGTTACCTTCCTGCTAGTGTTTCATTCATTCAACCTTTATTTCTACAGGTTAGTCCCACTGAGCCTCGAGGACTCGTTTAAAGAGACACCTGATTTTAACAAAGAGTGACGACAACAACAACAGACAATTATAAGAGGCGTACATATTTTTTTCTTTTTTACAAATTAAAATAAGATGACAAAAAAGTAGCAAAACCAGCTAGATTATAAGGCGAATGTAGAAAAACTAAAAACAGGAACATGTCTACATTGTTGCACTGCAGTGTTATGCTACTTTTAGCTACTTTTCAGTTTCTTTTAGAGTCTGTTTTGCTACTTTAGTGTTTTTCTGATTCTGCCAAGGCAACAAGATTTTTGATGGAGAACTTTATGATTCTCAGCTGCAGCCACATGCTAACATGCTACATTTAGCAGGTTATGGTGTTCACAACGTTCATGGGCAGATGGACGGCGTGTCCATCTCCAAAGATCAGCAGCAGAGGCCTTACAGAGTCGCCCTCGTTGGACTGTATTTCAGGAATGCATGTTGCCCGCCACCTTTCGTGCCAGAGGTTTAGACTAAGACCAGCTCCTGTGAGAAATGAGTTGACGTGGAAAATAATGGTTCACTGTGAACAGACGAGTCTGGGTGGGTTGACTGGTTGGTTGTATTTTCCTGTAAGGTCCTCCTGGGCCTGAAGGAAGTCCAACATGCAGGTTTTTGGACAGTGGGAGGAAACCCACGAGGAGAGACTCCACACAGAAAGACCATGGTCTAAACTGAGATTGAACCCAGGACCTTCTTGCTGTATACCTGCAGACCACTTCATATTGATTTCATTATTTTGCTGCTGCCCGGTACCAGATGATCCATGGACCGGTACCAAATCTTGCCCCGGTGTTGGCTGTGGCGGACATCTTGAACTGAGTTGTTTCCAAACCTATGTTCAGAGACTCATGAGATATTTTGCTAACAATCACCTGACGATGCTCATAATCCAAACAGAACTGAGCTCCTTCAGCACCAGCTCTGTTTGTGTGTGTGTCTGTGTGTGTGTGTCTGTGTGTGTGTGTGTGTGTCTGTCTGTGTGTGTGTGTCTGTGTGTGTGTGTCTGTGTGTGTGTGTGTGTGTGTGTCAGTGTGTGTCTGTGTGTCTGTCTGTCTGTGTGGTCTGTGTGTGTGTGTCTGTGTGTG